GTTTCTCCGGAGGGCCAACAACAGGGCAGAGAGGCCGAGGCCTTCACAAGAACATCAGAAGGGCCCTCCTGGGTCAGACCAGTGAGGGTCCACCTAGTCCAGCATCCTGTCTCGCGCAGTGGCCGACCAGTTCCTGTGGATGGCCAACAGCAGGGCAGAGATGCCGAAGCCTTCCTCGATTTTGTCTCCCGCCTCTGAATGTGGAGGTTCCCCTCATGTCCTCCATGAATCTATCAAAATCCCTGGTGGAAACTAACTGCAGCTGGCTGTGGCAAGGAAGCGCAGGCACCTAGTCAAGCAGAGTTAGAGTCCTCACCCAACTGGGGTGCTAGTCCTGGAGTAGACTCTGGTTTGCAGCCCGGCTTTGTGTTGAGGGCAGTGGGGAAGGAGAGCCTGTGCCAGATGGGGGAGAGGGAAGGAGGTCCTGTGAGGCCAGCAGCAGCCTGGTGTGTGAGGGTTATTTTTTGGGGGGGCTTTGCATGTTTAAATTTAGCCGTGGTCGAGTTCGCTTCCTGGTGAGTCTTTGGCCACGTTCGTATTACGTGATTCCAAACTGCTGTTCATCAAAACAGGCGGCAAGCTTAGGTAAGAAGGCACGAGCATGCAGTGAGCAGACTCCTGTCGATGCTCCCTCTGAGTAGGTAAGAAGGCACGAGCATGCAGTGAGCATACTCCTGTCCGATGCTCCCTCTGAGCTGTGGAGACTCGTGAGCAAAAATCCTCCTTTGTGAGCAACTGGCATTCAAGTTGTGAGCCAGCCGTTTGGCCGCTGAGTCAGTTAGTTTGCCCTGGGGCCCCATCCCTTCCTGAGCCGAGGCAAGGATGGGTGAGCCGGAGGCCAAAAAACTGTGAGCTAGCTCACACTAATTCAGCTTGGAGGGAACTGTAGTCCTGTCCGAGTTGAGGACATTTTCTGGCTGTCACGTCCAAAGCCCTTTGTGACCTAGGACCCTCGTATCTGCGCGACCTCCTCTTCCCCCACGTCCCGCCATGACAGCTTCAGTTATCTGCATGAGGTCTTCTGTTGGTGTCAGTCTGCAAATGGGCAAAATTGCTAACTGCCCATAGATGGGCCTTCTCAGTTGTGGCCCCCATCTTATGGAACCGCCTGCCCGAGGAGGTCAGGAAGGCTCCCTCTCTCCTGGCTTCCTGCACTCTCTGTCAAACTGAATTGTTTCGAAGGGCTTTTCTATGCAGGCAGTAGAGTAAAGGATTCACAAAGTAGCTTAGATCAGTTACCAGGGTCCGTTGTCTAAACTATTGGGGTTAACTTGCTGAAACTGGGATCCGATTATTTGATTTTGGCATCATTTAACGTGTCATGTCAAGACTTAAGCTTTGCTTCAGTTGTTTTCAGATTTCTCATTGGTTCTACAACCTCAATCCTGTTGTATTGTTTATTGAATCCCATCTTATTTATTGTATTGGTGTAGTGGTTTGGTGTTGTGGTTCAGTGCGCGGACTCTAATCTGGGAGAACCAGGTTAGATTCCCCACTCCTCTACATGGCAGCTGCTGGTGTGACCTTGGGTCAGTCACGAGTTCTCTCGGAGCTGTTCTCTCAAGCAGCTCTCTCAGCCTCACCTTCCTCACAGGGTGTCAGTTGTGGGGAGGGGAAGGGAAAGGAGATCGTAGGCCACTCTGAGATTCCGAGTGAAGGGTGGGCTATGAATCCAATCTCTCCTCCTCCTCCTCTTCTTCTTCACTCTGTGTAATCCGTCTTGAGTCCAAGTGAGAAAGGTGGACTACAAATGTTGTGAATAAATAATAAAATGGGGATGTTCCATCATTACTTGTACAAAGCGCCCTACTCTAAATCTCAGGTTTTTAGCAGCCCAGCTAGAACACAGGTGAACGTCAGTTCGAATGGAAGAAAACTGCAATTGCTTCCAGCAGGCCTCATGAAAAGTGCATGGCTTTGGGAGGACGCAGAGTTAAATTGGTGTGTACAGCATGGCACAGGTAGTGGGTGCCTGGCTGCGAGTCAGAGGGGGTGGACGTATACTGTAGATGGACTACCGCTTTACCGTCCATTCTTCCGTAGACAATACAAGCGACGAGGGTCCTCCAAAGGTTGGTCATCTGTATGCATTTGCAGCCGCTATCCATGACCCTGTTTGAAAACGACTGTGATATTATGCAGATGCGAAAGAGCCACTTTGGTGTAGTGGTGAAGTGCGCGGACTCTAATCTGGGAGAACCGGGTTTGATTCCCACTCCTCCACTTGCAGCTGCTGGATGACCTTGGGCAAGCCGTAGTTCTGTCAGAGCTGTCCTTGAAAATAGAGCGGTTTTTGTCAAGAGCGCTCCCGGCCCCACCGACCTCACAGGGTGTCTGTGGTGGGGAGGGGAAGGGAAAGGAGGTTGTCAGCCACTCTGAGACCCCACTGGGTAGTGAAGGGCGGGGTATAAATCCAACCTCTCTTCTCTCATTTGCAAGGAAGGCGCTCTGTTTGCCAGTCTGTGCAGGCCGGCAACCTCATCCCTCAGAGCTGCCCTCTTTGAGTTTGCCAGATAGAAAGGAAAGCGCCCGAAGTCAGTTGCGCTAAAGGCCGTAATTTCAGAGTGCCTAAGCGATAGCCTTAGCCTAACTTCTGATCTCTCTTCCCGAAGAACATCCAGCGGAACTACCCGGTCTTGAAAAGGAAGATGACCATCCAAAGGCAGCCCGAGCAACACAGTAAGCCAGGAGCCGTTCTCAGGCGGCCTACCCTGCT